TAAACAATAACTCCCCATTCCCCTCTCTCTGCAGTGCCTAGCAATCACCATTCTATTTTCTGTCACTATGAAGTTACCAATTCTAGATACCTCATGTAAAGGAATCATACACTTTGTCCTTTTGTGTCTGGCTTGTTGCACTTAGCATGTTTTCAAGGTTCCTCCATGTTGTAGCCTGTCTAAGAATTGCATTCCCTTTTGAAGCTATACCCCCATTTTAAAGAGAAACCCAAGCCTTAGAGAAATAGAGAAACTTTCCCAAGATCACAAAGATTAGAAAGTGCTGGGACGAGAACTCGGGCCTGTTTGCTTCAGAGCTGGTAATCTTAATCACTTTGCTCAGAGGGTCAGATCTCAGTCCCTTCCAGCAGCAAAAGCCTATGCATTCCTGGCTAAATGCGGAGTCTTTCAATGTCAGAAAAATGTCTCTTTAAAAATCTTTTCGGTGTTTGATCTAAGATATTCCTGTTCTGGAAACAAATATATTTTTCTCACTTAGCACCCCATGTAAACATACCTCAGCACGCCTGTTTGCCTACAATGTTGCATAGGCCATGGGTGCATTACTAGGTGTGGGTAGCAAAGGAGTGAGTATGTGTATGTATTTAGGAGAGAGGCGTGATGCAGAGAACATGGGACATTTCCCCCTTAGAAGTAGTCTATAGCAACAGTAGCAGCAGTTACAGAATCGATTCATAATTATGGAAACTATTAGTGTTGGACCAACACTAACAGTAAGTTTAAGCAGGTGCTTACATAGTGTGCTTTGTTTCTTCAATAGCTGGACGATGCTCGAACTCTGCGTGGAACAAACCTTTATCTTAAAATTAGAAGCATGGCTCAAGATGCACGTATTCTGGTTAAGGCAATACAGTCGCTTAAATTCACAGTCAGGTCTAAATCATAGCAAATTCTGGCAGACAGTCTGTCCTTTGCTGTCCTGCCCACCGCTCCCTTGCGGTGTATTCAATAAACTTCTATCTCCTTTCAAAAAAAAAAAAAAAATTCTGTCCATGGAAGCTGGACACAAGAGAGCTAACCTGTGGCTGTGGGCAGAGGAGAGAGGGAGCCTGACAGGAAGATCTGGCATTGAGCAGCTGGTTTCGCCACTGTCTAAATTTTGTCCAGGTTGAGGGCAGGTAAGATGTGAGGAGCAGGACAGGAGGTTTACTGCGAAGAGCAGTCGCCCGAAAGCTACTGTGGTTCTCATCCTTGGCTGGACATTGGGATCACCTGAGGAATTTTATAAACATACTGATACCTGGAGGCCACCCTCAGGGATTCTAAATTCATTGATCTAGGGTGTGGCCTGGATATCGGGATTTTTAAAGGCTCTGCTGGTAATTTTTTAAAAGATTTTATTTATTTATTTGACAGAGAGAGACACAGCGAGAGAGGGAACACAAGCAGGGGGAGTGGGAGAGGGAGAAGCAGACTCCCCGCTGAGCAGGGAGCCCAACGGGACGCCGGGGTGGCTCAGTCGGTTAAGTGTCTGCCTTCATCTCAGGTCATGATCTTGGGGTCCTGGGATCGAGTCCTGCCAGTAATTTTGATGGGCAGCAAAGTTTGAGAACCACTTGTTCAACTACTATCCTGCTGTGCACTCCCTACCCATTTTTCTCTTTGTTCTCCCTAGCCACGCGCTCCAAAGCCTAGAGCAGCAGTTTAGAGAGCTACCTGGTTTCCTTTTTCCTTGTCATTTCTGCTCTTTATAAATTTAAACAAGCATGTCCAGGTCTTAGTCTCCACGTCCATCCCAGACTTTGTGTGTGACCCAGGATAGCTTACCTCACCTTATCTGCTATCTAGGGACACGGTTACCAGCTTAGTTTATTCCTGTGTTTATGACTTCATTCCTGTCTGCCTAAGAATCCTGCCCCCCTTTTCAGGAGAGGCAGTGAGTGCAAAGTGCTGAGAAAGAGAGGGTTCCTCTTACAGGTGGCTGTTGATCCGTCACCTTTCAGCAGGGACTAAATTTACCTTAAAGAAGAGTGCAGATCGAATTACACATCAGAAAGCAAGTTTCATTAAAGAGCAAGAAAGGGGACAGTGTTTCCCAGGAGAAGATGAAAAGAAAAGGATTTCTTTTCTTGTCGGAAGAGTTGACAAAACAGCAACTTGATATCAAATGTTCAATGCTAATTAACAAATGCTCAGTAGAAAGCCTCCATCTCATTCCCTCTCCCTTGCTGAGGCCAGAGAGCAAATGGCAGGTGGGAGCTACACAGGGCTCTTTCTCTAGCATTAGAGAAGCCTTACAATGTTGATGTGCTTGAGAAAGCACTGGACAGGAGTTGAAATTCCAAATGTTTGCCTCACTGAATTACAGTGTGAACTTGAAAAAGTCACTTCATGTCTCCAAGCTTCAATTTCCGTATGTGTAAAAATAAACAATACCACACTAACCCGTCACCTTCCATAATTGAAATAGATTCCCCTCTCCCTCACCGTAAGGGTCCGGCCTGAAAGCACGGAGCTCATCTGTTTCAGAGCCATCCTTTATAACGTTACGATACTCATGATTATTTGAAGTTTCTAAATATAATTCAGTAAAATGTTCTCATTTTAAAAAGATGGCAAGGGGCGCCTGGGTGGCTCAGTCGTTAAGCGTCTGCCTTCAGCTCAGGTCATGATCCCGGGGTCCTGAGATCGAGCCCCGCATCGTGCTCCCTGCTCTGTGGGGAGTCTGCTTCTCCCTCTCCCACTCCCCCTGCTTGTGTTCCCTCTCTCGCTGTTTCTCTCTCTGTCAGAAAATAAATAAAATCTTTAAAAGAAAAAAAAAGATGGCAAAATTTGCGTTCAAAAGTGAAGTGGATGTTGCCAGTATTAGGTAGTTTTATCTCCATCCAAAAAAGGCTCCTTAATGTTGGCATATGCCCATGATATTAACCAACGTCTTACCTCAGAAATTAATAAGCAGGTTAATAAGCAACATGAAACACTGATCTAATTTTAGTATACGCATATTTTAGGTTATTTTGACTGTTTTGCCATTGACAATGTCAATTCTCTAATCCATAATATTTAAAGTCCCGTATGTTCATATTAACATGATTTGTCGAGTTTTTCAAGTTTTTGTCACCACAGTATTTCTCTGAGAAAGATAACATAGCTACAATATTACCACTTTACAAAAAGGAAAATGGTTGCATGATTGACCACTGTCAGGCAAGGACAGAACTGGGATTAGCACAAGGTGGGTTTACTGATGCCCAAGCGAACCACAAAACTAAGTGACTGGGGGTCAATTCCTGTAAGTAAGATAAACTCCTTCAGGAAGTGGAAAACCTATGAAGACACATTTCAAGGTAGAAAGGGACTGCAGGGTATCTGGTCTAAGAGACATCTCAGCCCTACTTATCTTCTCTGAAGGGGAGGTGGCCTCTGCGGCGGTGAGCTGGTGTTAAGTCATTTCTAGGCATTCAAACCAGATTGGGGCTGAAAGGGCTTTTGGCACTGAGAGGCTGTCTGGTAGCTCCCACTGCATTTTCCCCATTGTTTCAGGAATTCCCCTCCCCCCAGGTTAGAGCTAGGTGGGCCTCTAGGCCCCTGCAGGCCGGCATCTCCCCAACCTCCACAGTCCTTAATAGTGACAGCGTGCAGTGTTGTTGCAAGAGAAGGGCAATGGAGGAAGAAGACGGGCAGGGAAGAGAGTACTAAAGAGGAGATGGCTCCTTGAATAAGCACGAGCTCCATAAATCAGGTGTGGGCCGGGTGATCTGGGGGGTAACTTGCATTCGGCTATTCTGCGGGAGGAGGGGCGGGGAGTAAAGGGGCTCAGTGTTCCGTAGAGAGGGGTCCTGAAATGACTTCCTTGGAAATTCTACCTTGCAGCCTCCCACCCTGAGAAACGTCTTTTGTGGATAGGGATGGGGGTAGGGTGGGAATAAAGGTGAGGAAGACTGGACAAAACTTGGGGTATTTGGGGGTGCGTGTTTTGATGAGGGATGGATGTTCCGGGCTCCCTCAGACCTCTGAGATCAGACCATCCTCTCTGGAGTCCACGTTTTCCAGGCTCAGTAGATCTTTTATCCAAAGAAAAATAAGAGAAGCCTCTCGCTTTGCTCTATTGAGCAGGGCTGGGTTTCCCACTGTGTCCCCATGAGCCTGAGGGGGGTGGGGGCAGGTCTGGGCAAAGACATCTGGAGAAGGGGGGAGCTGGCAGAGTGCAAGGGAAGGTGGACCCCCACCACGTCCCACAAGCACCTGTCACTGAGCCTCCGGCAACCTGCTAGGCTCTGGGCTCCGGCCCCACACACCCACCTCCCACTCCCCGCTCCCGCCCGGCTCCCGAGCAGCTCCTCCCCCATCTCCCCTCTCCCAGCTTTCTCGCTCCAGCTCCTCCCCTCCTCCGTGCCTCCCCGCTCCCCTCCCCCTCCTCCGCGGCTCCCTGCCCCCGCCGCCGCTGCCGCCGATCTCCATCTCTGCAGTCTGGGCCGCTGGGCGCAGAGGCTGCCGCAGCCCCGGCGGCCACCGCCGCCTCCCCCAATCCCGCTACCTATTGTCTCCCACTCTACCCGGCCCTCCACCTCCCCCACAACCATGGCGCACGAAACCGGGAGGAGCTCTCGTCTCGGGGGGCCCTGCGGGGAGCCGGCGGAGCTTGGAGGTGCGGTAGGGCCCTGCCCCGGCAGGGGTGGGGGCGGAGGGGACGCGCGCGGGGTAAGGGACTTTCGGCGGACGGGATGAAATGCACGATTCTCTGCCTAGGACCCCCTCCTCACGCCTGTTCCTTGCGCCCGCGGTGGCCCGGGGTTGGGGGGGTGGGGGACGGACTAGGGAAGGCAGAAGCTTGAGCTTGCCTGCCCCTCCCCACCCCCCCTACCCTGGGGTGTTTCGCGTCCGGGCCGGTCAAGACTGAGCTCGATGCTTCTGCGTGGCCTGATGGTGAGCTCATCTCCCCGCCCCCCACAAGCGGTTACTGGGCTCGTTGTTAATTAGAGCCTTCGCAGGCCCATCCCAACCGCACCACCCACGCTCTCTCCTTGTCTTCTCCCTAGGTGATGCTAGCGAGGAGGACCACCCCCAAGTCTGTGCCAAGTGCTGCGCACAATTCACTGACCCAACTGAATTCCTCGCCCACCAGAATGCATGTTCTACTGACCCCCCTGTAATGGTGATAATTGGGGCCCAGGAGAACCCCCACAACTCTTCGACCTCTTCTGAATCCCGGGCGGAGGGCCAAAATAGTTCCCAGGTCATGGAGGCAGAGCACAGCAACCCCCCGGATTCTGGGTCTTCAGTGCCCACAGATCCCTCCTGGGGCCCAGAGCGGAGAGTAGAGGAGTCTGCAGGGCACTTCCTGGTCGCTGCCACAGGTACAGCAGCTGGGGGAGGCGGGGGCCTGATCTTGGCGAGTCCCAAGCTGGGCGCTACCCCATTACCTCCAGAATCTACCCCTGCACCGCCCCCTCCTCCTCCTCCACCCCCGCCCCCAGGGGTAGGCAGCGGCCACTTGAACATCCCTCTGATCTTGGAAGAGCTCCGGGTGTTGCAGCAGCGCCAGATCCACCAGATGCAGATGACTGAGCAAATCTGCCGCCAGGTGCTGCTGCTTGGCTCCTTAGGCCAGACAGTGGGCACCCCTGCCAGTCCCTCAGAGTTACCTGGGACGGGGACTGCCTCCTCCACCAAGCCCCTGCTTCCCCTCTTCAGCCCCATCAAGCCCGTCCAAACCAGCAAGACGCTGGCACCTTCCTCCTCCTCTTCTTCCTCCTCCTCCTCGGGGGCAGAAACGCCCAAGCAGGCTTTCTTTCATCTTTACCATCCGCTGGGGTCACAGCACCCTTTCTCTGCCGGAGGGGTTGGGCGAAGCCACAAACCCACCCCTGCCCCCTCCCCAGCCCTGCCTGGCAGCACAGATCAGCTGATGGCCTCACCTCATCTGGCATTCCCAGGCACCACGGGACTATTGGCAGCACAGTGTCTCGGGGCAGCTCGAGGCCTTGAGGCTACTGCCTCCCCAGGGCTCCTGAAGCCAAAGAATGGAAGTGGCGAGCTGGGCTACGGGGAAGTGATGGGTCCCTTGGAGAAGCCCGGTGGACGGCACAAGTGCCGCTTCTGTGCCAAAGTATTTGGCAGTGACAGTGCCCTGCAGATCCACCTGCGTTCCCACACGGGTGAGAGGCCCTATAAGTGTAACGTCTGTGGCAACCGCTTTACCACCCGCGGCAACCTCAAAGTGCATTTTCACCGGCATCGCGAGAAGTACCCGCACGTGCAGATGAACCCTCACCCGGTGCCCGAGCACCTAGACTACGTCATCACCAGCAGCGGCCTGCCCTATGGTATGTCCGTGCCGCCAGAGAAGGCCGAGGAGGAGGTGGCCGTGCCCGGTGGAGGCGTGGAACGCAAGCCCCTGGTGGCCTCCACCGCAGCACTCAGCGCCACCGAGAGCCTCACGCTGCTGTCCACCGGCGCGGGCGCAGCCGCGGCTCCTGCGCTGCCTGCTTTCAACAAGTTTGTGCTCATGAAGGCAGTAGAGCCAAAGAGCAAAGCTGATGAAAATACCCCTCCGGGGAGTGAGGGCTCAGCCATCACCGGGGTGGCAGAAGGTGGCACGGCAGCCCGAATGCAGCTGAGTAAGCTGGTGACTTCGCTCCCCAGCTGGGCGCTGCTTACCAACCACTTTAAGTCCACAGGGAGCTTCCCCTTCCCCTATGTGCTGGAGCCCCTGGGGGCCTCACCCTCCGAGACCTCGAAGCTGCAGCAACTGGTAGAAAAGATTGACCGGCAAGGAGCTGTGGCAGTGGCCTCTAGCGCCTCGGGAGCCCCCACCACCTCGGCGCCCGCGAGCTCGTCCGCCGCCTCATCGGGACCTAACCAGTGTGTCATCTGCCTCCGGGTGCTGAGCTGTCCCCGCGCGCTGCGCCTGCACTATGGGCAACACGGAGGTGAGCGGCCCTTCAAATGCAAAGTGTGTGGCCGAGCTTTCTCCACCCGGGGCAACCTGCGCGCACATTTCGTGGGCCACAAGGCCAGCCCAGCCGCCCGGGCCCAGAACTCGTGCCCCATCTGCCAGAAGAAGTTCACCAACGCTGTCACTCTGCAGCAGCACGTTCGGATGCACCTGGGGGGCCAGATCCCCAACGGTGGTACCACGCTCGCCGAAGGCGGGGGAGCTGCCCCGGAAAATGGCGCTGAGCAGCCCACAGTCTCGGGCCCGGGGAGCTTCCCCCAGCAGCCGTCCCAGCAGCCGTCCCCGGAAGAGGAGTTGTCTGAAGAGGAGGAGGAGGACGAGGAAGAGGAGGAAGATGTGACTGATGAAGATTCCCTGGCAGGGAGAGGCTCAGAGAGTGGAGGCGAGAAGGCAATATCCGTGCGAGGTGACTCAGAAGAGGCTTCGGGGGCGGAGGAGGAAGTGGGGACCGTGGGGACAGCGGCGGCGGCGGCAGTAGCCAACGCTGGGAAGGAGATGGAAAGCAATGAGAAAGTGATTCAACAGCCTTCCCTGCCGCCGCCGCTGCCTCCGCCGCCTCCACCGCCGGCCGACAGCCTGGATCAAACACAGCCCATGGAGCAGGGAGGCGGTGATGTTGCCGGAGGCATGGAAGCGGGGGCCAGAGCGGAGAGGAGCTCGAGCCCAACGGCAGCACTCAGCCGGGAAGGGGAAGGCAGCGGCAGCGCCTCGGTGGAGCTGAGCATGCAGGAGGCCATGAGAAAGGAGCCGGGCGAGAGCAGTAGCAGAAAGGCCTGCGAGGTGTGTGGTCAGAGCTTTGCCACGCAGGCAGCCCTGGAGGAGCATCAGAAGACCCACCCCAAGGAGGGGCCGCTCTTCACTTGTGTTTTCTGCAGGCAGAGCTTTCTCGAGCGGGCTATCCTCAAGAAGCATATGCTGCTGGCTCACCACCAGGTACAACCCTTTGCCCCCCACGGCCCTCAGAATATTGCTGCTCTTTCCTTGGTCCCAGGCTGCTCACCTTCCATCACTTCCCCGGGGCTCTCCCCCTTTCCCCGAAAAGATGACCCCACGATCCCATGAGCCTGTTTTTCTGTACCTGCTGCCCCTTGACCCAGGGAGCAGAAACCGAGAGCTCTGTAGAAGGACCTCTAAGATGTATGAGCCCTTATTTGTCTTTTTCTCTGAGTCCTTCTGTGATACCTCCCTAGTGGCTTTTTTCTAGTCCCCGAGCTTGGAAATAGTTGTGCTCACAGGGGGATGGTCCCCTGATGAATTTTTCTTCCCTCTTCACTCGTTGTACCTGAGGAAAATAGATTCTCTACAGCTTTCACCTTCCCAAGGGGAACCCTCTCCAGCTTCCCTGGGGTGACCCTTCTCCCCTCTCCTTTCTTCCTCTCCCTTTCCCTTTGGCAGGTGCACCTGAGCACCCACATTTGGAATTGCAGCCCAGCCCGAAGGGGCCGGCAGCTGTCTCTGGAGGGCCCAGTGCCACTCCTCTCTGGTGACCAGGTCAACCTGCAGGACTTCCTATCCCAGGACATTCCTGTCCAACTGGTGAGGGTAGGTCCCCTGTCTTTCTGGAACCAGTACACAGCTTTCCTGTCAAGTGACCTGCCCACCAAGCCCCGGAGTTCCGGCTCCGCCTCCACTACCACTTTAGGCCTGGCGCCATCAGTGCTCTTTGGCCCGGGAATTGTGGCTGGGAACGTGCCTCCGGCAATGGGATCCAGAGAGGCCAAGGAGAAGAGAGCCCCCCTCTTCCTATTTCGGTCTCCTGCATCCAGGGCAGTGCCTAAGAAGCCCACCATAGAAGAAAAGTAGCAAACTGTATATTCCTTCTTTTCCCTGCTCCAGAAGGTGCCAGCAGTGAAGACACAACAATATCTGTATCTGGCGGCCCGGCCCTACGGGGTAGGGGGAAATGAAGGGCGTATAGGACATTCTTCCCAGTACATTCCCGTTCAGGCGAAGGTGTTGGCTGGTCAATATGCCAAGACACCTCCAGCTTCTCCTATTCCTTCATCATGGCCTCTCAAAGTTAGGAAACAAGCAGATGTCTTGCCAACAGGTCTCCCGTGGGATATTTTGGGAACTGCGAAGCTCATATCTTTAAGAAGCATCATTGGTGGGGGGGGGGGGGTTGAAAGAGTAATGATGGAGAGTTGAAGAGTGTTGCTAAAGCATAGGGCTTGCTGGGAACCTATGCGATTAAGAAAAGGGCATGGTGTGAGGGAGGGGACCTCCGATTCTTGACTGGATGGGTCTCATGAATGTTCTTTTGGACTATTAGTGACTTGCTGTGTAGCACTGCACCACAGGTCATAGGGGATTTCCTAGCACTAGTGTGCTTCTAGTTTTAGATAACTCCCTCCTTATTCCCTGGCCCCTTGGATTTTCCTTGTCTTCCTTTCTCAAGGCCTATTTCCTCCCCCATTTTGCCTGTCTATGGACCAGGGCTTATGTCTTTGCCACTGTCTGGGTCTTAGAGTCCCAGACTTTGGGAGACGAGCTCTAGGTGGTGTCCTCCCTGCCTCCGTCTTGTAATGAGATGTAGTATTTACTCTTAACATAGGATCATTTGGAACAGGAGTTCTGAGGAGGAGAGAGTGAGAGTTCTGCTACTGACTGACTTGAATGATGGTTTCTCCTCCAAAGGTATATAGGCTCCAGAGCTTCCTAACATAGTAAAATGTGAAGAGCAGACAAGGGACATGCTAGTGTCTTTCCCTTTTCATTAAAAGTGTTTTAACCAAATATTTGTGTGTTTTTCCTTATTTCATGATTAAATAGCCAGCTGGGGTGTGATATGGGCATTCCCTAACATTGAGATTCCCTTCCCACCTACATCTCCTGCCAAAGCTGAACATATGGTGTTGAAATATTTAATTTATTCAGCCTTGTCCTAAAACAACCTCCAGTGAATGTGATTTCCCTGTGGAAATGGAGTTTATGTTCTCAAAAAGTAAAGGATTTGTCCATTGTGTGCATTCATTGTCTAGATTTTGTTCTTTGCCCAGAACTTTCCACCACCAGGCTTTTGTGGGGTCTTTTTTTGTTTGTTTTGTTTGGAGGTTGGAAGCTGTTTCTTTGTCTTTCCTGAACCCCAGGCTAGCCTACCTGATCTGCAGAACCAAGATGAATTAATCTTTATGATCCTTGAGATCTGATGTTATAAACAGGAAAAAAAAGTAATTCAACACTAATAATTTCTACCAGCGGGATAATTTAAAGGAAGATTCTTAGCAGAGGAAGTACGTGTGGAGTGGGGGTGTGAAATGAAACATAGACATTTTTTACCTTGTCTCTCCACGACTTGGTGAGGTTTAGATTTGACTCTAAGACCTTGTTTTTTTAGAGAACAGTCCCCAGAATTTTTTTATAATATCACTGAATCTTAGTGCTACATGGATGGGGCTGGTAAAATGGTTTGCCCAAAGTCACTCAGCCAATTAGTGGCAGACTTGGATTAAGGAACCCAGTGATCAGGGACAGTGCTTGTTTCCTGCTACACCATTTAAGATTCCTGATGTGAGACCGGCTGGAAGACCGAAAGGAGGAGGTGAGTAAACCTATTCTTGGCTCAATCCAAAGTAAAGAACCGTTTGATTCTAGTTGCCCCCACTAGGGCAGTACAGGTCCCCTTTAAAAGGTCCTGGTGAATAGGAATACAGGGGAATCTTGTGAAGTCAACTGGGGAAGAAACAGCTTCTGCCTCTTTAATTCCTAGCAAAGCTTTGTAAATCTTTTTCTCCTTTCAGCCTACGGAAGGAGGTAGGTCACCAATCCTATTCCATTTACCTCCCTTACCCCCACTGGACATAGATAATGCCATTTAACTAATTAAAGTAGACTTGCCCTCTCTTTATATGCCAGTTCCCATTATGGTAACAGCTATTGGTAAGGCTTTGACTCATGGATACTTCTTTGGGCAGGTCCGCACTGCGCCTGACTCCCCACACCCCTTCTTCATTGCTCTACTTTATTTTCCCTTCTGTCTCCTTTTTATTCTTTTTATTCTCCTGTCCTGCTTTTTCTTCTTTGTTGACCTCTCTTATCTGACAGCTTTAATTTTTTTTTCTTTTCTCTCATCACCTTTATTCTGTCTCTTAGAGCCTTTAGTTTCTTCCGTCTATAGCCCCTCCAATCCTCACCCTCAGCCTCCCATTTCTCACTCTCAATCACTTTTCATCTGATCATCTTTTCAGAAGGTGAATTAACTCTAACTTGCTGGAACAAGAATGTAAATAAATGTGGCTTGCAAAACATACATATAGTGGATCCAGTTCAAACTGGATGGATGCAAAGCATCACTATTATAAGGCAGATTTGCTCATTCATTCAGTTAATTTCTGAGGATTTATTTTGTTTCAGAGACCAAGTGTTGGGCGGGTCCAAAAGTAAGTAAGACACTTCTGCCCCTATGGGAGCTCAGTCTAGGATGAAGAAAAATATAAACATTTTTATATGGTGGTGGTAGTAAATAGTATGATAGATGCAAACAATGGCCTGCAGGTTCCCAGAGAGGGAAATAACTCATAATGCAAAGATGGAGAAGGGGGAGAGGGTGTACGATTCTCTTGAATTCAGTTTTCATAATAACCACTCAAATATATTAATAATCCATTCAACAACCTCAGGACCAATGCAGTTATCATTTAAGAACCTATGTAAGATATGCCAAGTCCCCTTTGGCAGATACAGAGGTGTGTTGCTTTAGAGGTTCCCCTTTACAGAAGAACTGGCTACCCAGCTGCAAGAAGCCTGATACACTGACATCCTTCAACCGCTCCACTCTTCAGCCTCTGGCCAAAGACTGAGCAAGATGGTGAGTGGTACAGGAGCTTAGGCATTGCCATGAAACATGGCACTCTAATGACCGTTTTTACTCTGGAATTCCCCGTTGGACTGGCAGAGATGGTCAGGTCTGCCTCATAGTCTGACAGTTCTTCCTGCCCCAAACTGCTTTTACCCCCTTTTCCTTTTATAGGTGTTACTCCCCATTACAACTTTTGGAATCCTAATTCTGCCTTCCCATCTGCTTCTCGGAGTTTTCAACCTGTATTACTCATGAAAAAGGCCTAGATTCTATTGGCACATTTTCATCTTTCACAAACTCCTACTCCTGAGGCTCTGGTTACCATTACTGGAACTTGTTAGTAAATCAAGGAGTGTGTGTCTCCTGACCCGCAAGACACACTTCACTGGTATTACTCTCAATTAGACCCAACTTTGACTTTTCTTTTCCTTGTTTTTATCTAATGTTTAACTTTTTTTTTTTTTTTTAAGATTTTCTTTATTTATCTGACAGAGACACAGTGAGAGAGGGAACACAAGCAGGGGGAGTGGGAGAGGGAGAAGCAGGGGGAGTGGGAGAGGGAGAAGCAGGCTTCCTGCGGAGCAGAGAACCGGATGCAGGGCTTGGTCCCAGGACCCTGGGATCATGACCCGAGCCGAAGGCAGATGCTTAACGACTGAGCCACCCAGGTGCCCCAGTTTAACTTTTTTTTTTTAAGATTTATTTATTTAGGGGTGCCTGGGTGGCTCAGTTGTTAAGCGTCTGCCTTTGGCTCAAGTCATGATCTCAGGGTCCTGGGATCAAGCCCCACATTGGGCTCCCTGCTCGGCGGGAAGCCTGCTTCTCCCTCTCCCATTCCCCCTGCTTGTGTTCCTGCTCTCGCTATCTCTCTCTCTGTCAAATAAATAAATAAAATCTTTTTTTAAAAAGGTTTTATTTATTTATTTGAGAAAGAGCATGAGCAGGGGGGAAGGGCAGAGGGCGAGGGAAACAAGCAGACTACTCGCTGATCAGAGAGCCTGACTCTGGCTCGATCCCAGGACTCTGAGATCATGACCTGAGCCAAAATTAAGTGCCAGATGCCCAACTGACTGAGCCAACCAGGCACCTCTAACTTTTATTTTTTTGAGATTTTTTTTAAACTAATCTCTACATCCAACGTGGGGCTCGAACTCATATCCCTGAGATCAAGAGTCGCATGTTCTTCTGACTGAGCCAGCCAGGCGCCCCTCTAATGCTTAATTTAATAACAGATTGACTAACCCCAGTGGACATTTTGCTTTTGATCGTATAATAAAAATTGGGTAAGAAAAAAACTTAAGGGGGCGCCTGGGTGGCTCAGTCATTAAGCGTCTGCCTTCGGCTCGGGTCATGATCCCAGCATCCCGGGATCGAGCCCCGTATCGGGCTCTCTGCTCCACAGGAAGCCTGCTTCTCCCTCTCCCTCTCCCCCTCCCCCTGCTTGTGTTCCTGCTCTCGCTATCTCTCTCTCTGTCAAATAAATAAATAAAATCTTTAAAAAAAAAGAAAAAGAAAAAAACTTAAGGAAAAAGCCATTTGACTAAAGAACAAGTAAGAAGTACAGTAGTATTTGGTCAGTATTGTGGATGTTTCAGTAATCCATTTGTTATGCAACAAACCATCCCAATACTTAGTATCTTAAACAATAATTATATAATTGCCTATGATTCCATGAATTGTCTAGGCAGGCCTCAGATAGGATGTCTTGTCTATGTTCCGTGTAGTGAGGGTTGAGCTCACTTGGGCAACTCTGATTTGGGCTGGAGGATCCAAGATGGCTTCATTCACTTTTGGCCCTTCAGCTGAGTGGCTGGAATGTTGGGGCCTCTTTCTTTATTGTCTTTTCATCCTGTGGGCCCCTTTCCCTTTCAAGTCTTTCAATCTCTAGGATATCTCTTTCTCTCTCTCAGGGTAAATGGGCTCCCATGATGGCCCAGGTCTGCAAGAAGGTAAAAGCAGTGCAAGCTGCAAGGCTCTTAAGGCCTAGACTCTGAAACTCAAAGAATATCACTTCTGCCACATTCTGTTGGCCAAACTAGTCAAAAGGCCTGCTCAGATCCAAGAGGAGAGAAAATAAGCTTTACCTCTTAAAAGGAAGAGTGGCAAAGTCACCCTGCATAAAGGCATATGGGATGGGAAGCATTGTGACTAACTCTAGAAACAGTCTACGACAGCAGATATGAAGAAAAGTTAAGAAATGTAGTGCATGCAGCACTCCTCTGCTCACAACTAGGCTTGCACTATGTCTTGACTAGAAGAGGTCTGGCTAAGGTTCCTTTTCCTATGCACTGCTCAGGATTGTATGCAGACTGGCTAAGAGTGGGCAGAAAACTGGTCATGAGGAGTCTAGAAAGAATCCCCCTATAAGCAGAGCATGCTGAGTGGCCCTCCTGTGCTCCTAAAATTTGCCTGATTTACTAATGTAATAATTTACCCAAAGTGAATGTGAAAGCAAAGACTTCTGGAAGCTGCCCTTGATTTGGCTGACTTTCAGGAATATCTGTTCTACTTCTTTGGCTTCCTCTGTAGGTAAGGGGAGGCAATACAGGCCTTAGATATCTTGAATTCTACCAGAGACTGAATCTCTTCCACTAGAAAATCCTTCCTTTCCTAGACAAAAATGCTTATATTGTTTAGGGGTTAACCTATGGAATTCCATCTTCAAGATGAATCAACTCCTTTCTTCTACAAGGCTATGTCCAATACTCTTTTCTCCCCCAAGACTATTTAACTTAACTGCTATATGATTTCTATATATTTTATTTCTATATGTTAAGGATCTTGAACGAAAGTGATCTTATAACAAGTGAGGGATTCAGATTTGTGAACAATGAACTCTTAACAATTTTTTTAAAATGGATTTTAGGTTTTTGGGTTTTTTTTTTTTAAAGTATTTTATTTATTTATTTGAGAGAGAGCACAGAGGGAGAGTGAGAGGGAGAAGCAGACTCCCCACTGGGTAGGGAGCCCAATGTGGGCCGAATCCCAGGACCTTGAGACCACGACCCGAGCTGAAGGCAGATGCCTAACTGAGCCACCCAGGCGCCCCTTAACAATTCTATAATATAGGTGTGCCTGGGTGGCTCAGTCAGTTAAGTGTGTGCCTTCAGCTCAGGTCATGATCCCAGGGTCCTGGGATTGAGCCCCAAGTTGGGCTCCCTGCTTAGCGGGAAGCCTGCTTCTTTCCCTCCCTCTGCTTATGCTCTCTCTCTGTCAGATAAAAAAAAAAAAATCTGTAATATAGCATTAATGGTATTATCTTACTTCAGGAATGATACATGTGTCTAAACATAGGGCCACACAGGATACATCCCAAACGAAAGTACAAAAGCATCCCTTGTCCACTTTCTTGGCAGTTGCTAGACCCAGGTCCTTAAAGGAAGCCAAAACCCTTAGGTAGAGCAGTCCCCTTCAGTAGTCTTCCATGATCTCATATCAGCCAACTTTTCCAAGAGTATTTCAGCTGAGGAAGATAGCATTTTCCTTTGAATTAAGTATAGTCCTGAGAATTAAATGTCCAGAGATACTCATGTGAGCCCATATACATTTCTGTGTCCTCTGCTTGAAGGCTCACATATAAAGTCATGCATCTCAAACAAACAAACAAACAAACAAACACACAAAGTTACACGTCTCAAAAGATGGTGTAAATTGCCTAGTAAGTATATTAAATTGAGAAAAAAGGTTGGAAATGAATATTTTGATCATTACTAAATCTTTGCTGAATAAATGGATGAAACTGCTACATTCCAATACACATACATCTTTCTTCTCAATAGCTCCCACTTCTCATATTCACCCATTCCTTTCCATTACTATCCATAACCAGCTTCTGAGTTAATTAAAGGCCCTATCACCAAACACGGCTGAAATAAGCTACTAACTGGGGTGCTTTGCAGGCTCCACTGGTAGAGCGTGTGACCCTTTAACAGTTTTTTTTTTTTTTAATATTTTATTTATTTATTTGACAGAGAGAGAGATCACAAGTAGGCAGGCAAGCAGGCAGAGGGAGAGGGAGAAGCAGGCTCCCTGCTGAGCATGGATCCCCGTGCAGGAAGGCGGAAGCTCTATCCCAGGACACTGGGATCATGACCTGAGCTGAAGGCAGACGCTTAACCGACTGAGCCACCCAGGCACCCCAAGGGGTTTTGGGTTCAAGCCCCACCTTGGGCATAGAGCCTACTTTAAAAAAAAAAAGGCTACTGGGGCGCCTGGGTGGCTCAGTCGTTAGGCGTCTGCCTTCGGCTCAGGTCATGATCCCGGGGTCCTGGGATCCAGCCCCGCATCGGGCTCCCTGCTTGGCGGGAAGCCTGCTTCTCCCTCTCCCACTCCCCCTGCTTGTGTTCCCTCTCTCGCTGTGTCTCTCTCTGTCAAATAAATAAATAAAATCTTTAAAAAAAAAAAAAGGCTACTATTTTCCCTGTCTCTAAACTCTCCTTCCTCCCCATCTCAATCCAACTAGAACACTAGATTAATCTTTAAAGAGCTGCCTATTCACAAACCCTAAAGTGTTCCCTGCTGTATTCTGAATAAATTGTAACTTCTTTACTAAGGTAACATGTACCCTTTTCCATCCGGCCTCACATATGGAAACGTAAATGACCTCCTAAATTCTCTAATGTAATTCTCTTTGTTCTAGCAAACCAATCTGGATTGGCAGGATATACATCATGATTTCCTAACTCTAGATCTTTTCTTTTTATCATGTCCTCAGCCTGGAATTTTCTCCTATAGCTTCATCTGTTGAAGCCATAGCTGTCATTTCAATCCTGAACCTTTTTTATTTTAAGTAAGCTCCATCCCTTGATCCCAGGACCCGGCTGGGGAGGCAGATGCTCAACCGACTGAGTCTCCCAGGTGTCCCCAAATAAAATCTTAACAACAACAAAAAAGATATCTGCACCATCAGTCCTCCTCTTTTTCTTTTTTAAATAAATGTGGTTTTAAAAAAAAAATTGAGAGAGGGGCAGGTGGTGGAGAGTGGGGGGAGGCAGAGAGAGAGGGGAGGGGAGAAGCAGACACCCTGTTGAACAGGGACCCAGCCATGTGGCTAGACACCAGGACCCTGGCCTCATGACCTGAACCTAAGGCAGATGCTTAACCAATTGAGCTACCCAGGAGCCCCAGTCCTCCTTCTCTTTCAAAGGAGGGCACCTCCAGGCACACACCTATAGACTGTAAACCAATGTAATAGCTGTATCTTTTTTTTTTTTTTTTTAAGATTTTATTTATTTGACACAGAGAGAGACAACGAGAGAAGGAACACAAGCAGGGGGAGCGGGAGAGGGAGAAGCAGGCTTCCCGCAGAGCAGGGATTCCCCACGCAGGGCTGGATTCCAGTGCCCTGGGATCACGACCTGAGCTGAAGGCAGAAACTTAACGACTGAGCCACCCAGGCGCCGCCTAATAGCTGTATCTTTAGAAATGAATGCATGAAAACATAAAACGGCAACACCTACAGCAGAAAAGGTATGTTAGTATCTAACTGTCAAAAGGAATTAGTTGTCCTTCATTTTAAAAATCTGTACCACTGGGGCACCTGACTGGCTCAGTCAGTGGAGCATACAACTCTTGATCTCCATGTGGTGAGTTCAAGCCCCATATGGGGTGTAGAGATTACTTAAACATAAAATCTTTTTTTTTTAAATTTTTTTTTATTTTTTTTAAGATTTTATTTACTTGCGAGAGAGAGAATGAGAGACAGAGAGCATGAGAGGGAGGAGGGTCAGAGGGAGGAGCAGACTCCCCGCCGAGCAGGGAGCCCGATGCGGGACTCGATCCCGGGACTCCAGGATCATGACCTGAGCCGAAGGCAGTCGCTTAACCAACTGAGCCACCCAGGCGCCCTTAAAAATAAAATCTTTTAAAAATAAATAAAAATCTGTACTACACTTGCTGCTCTATTAGTGCTGTCTTAACACCTTGGGTCAACTCCTTACATCAACAAGGCCGCGTGCGCCTCTTTAAGCAACATGGCTGTTCTGCCAGGCACTAATATGGAAACCACAGCTTCACGGCGCCCGGAAGAACGGGGGCGCTCCTATTAAAAATATTTCCGCCATCCTGCCAACACCTAAGGTGGCTCTCATTTGAGCTTCAAAGCGAGCGGGAAACGGAAAAGGACTTCCCGGCTAGCGCATTACCCGGAACTCTTTCCCGTTAGCCCGGGGGTGTCCGCGGGGGGATTGGAGATTTCCTGCGGCTGGGCTGGGAGGTGCTAGTCCACCGCGCCTGATTCGAGACGTGTCCCGGCTGAGAGACTGGGATGTCGGACACGTGGAGTTCCATCCAGGCCCACAAAAAGCAGCTGGACTCGCTGCGAGAGAGGCTGCAGCGGAGGCGGAAGCAGGACTCGGGGCACTTGGGTGAGGCGCGGGGCTGTCCGGGCCGAGGGTTAGCCAGGGAGGGCGGGAGGGAACCCTGGAGAAAAAGAGCTTCCAAGCCAGCACCCTTGCCCAAGCGGCCATTTCTTTAGTACCTGGCACATCAGTACTCTCCTCTTCACCTCAGCACACAGACGTTTCGTCCTCCTGTGCGTAGTCGCAGTTCCGTTCCACCCCGGGCCTTGGTTCACTCCTCCAGTTCACTTTCTTGGGACAGGAGCCTGGTCCCCAGCGCCCCACCCCACCCTCGTCCGCTTGGCAGACTCCTCTTAAGTCTGCGGGAACGTCGCCTTTGCTAGGCCTCTCAGCCCCCCGTCCCTTGAAACAGTTAAGCCTCCCCCCTTTTTTTTGCTCCTGTGGCGCTTTGTTCTTCCGTTATAGCGACTGCTTTGTAGTGGTCGTTTCTTTGCCACTGTAGCCACCGTGAGAACACGGACCGAAACTTTATATCCACAGTGACCAGCTCAGGGACCCTCACAGAGTTGCTAAATGAGTAGAAGAAATGGTATCGTCTTAGCCATCTGCGTCCCAAGCAGAAACCTGAAAATATTTGTTTTATGTTTTTAAACTTTTTCTCCCCTCCCGTTGCCCCCTGTGTCACAAAACTTGAAGGAACCTCAAATGATTGTCCAGTTTTATCTACCCTTATCCCCAGCACAAGCCCTGGGTTATTTAAGGCAAATCAGTTACAAAGATCTACAAGGAGAGTGAATCCATACCATCCTTGTGGTAGTTTGTTCCAATGTTTATTAGTATACTAGAGTCCATCTCTAAATCTTGTCTTGGTACATATCAGGTCCATGTGCTCATGTTCTGGCCCCTGGAACCTAGAAGATGTTCTGTCAGGACTTTGACACCATAATAAACAAACATCTGTTAAGTATTTACAGTGTGCCTAACAAAAAATGGACAAAGATAAGTAACATATTGTCTCTGCTCTCAGGGAGTTTAAAATTTAGGGGGGATAAAGGATTGGTGCTTATAAAAAAAATTCAGATGCTTATAAAAAATCCAGAACTATGACATGATACATGTAAAATGCTGAATGAATGAATCCAAAATAAGTATAGACAGGGAAGGGAAAAGTAACAAGAGTTGGCTTTATTTGCAAAGGCAACATGAGTTAGTTAGCACTTGTGATTTGATCTTGATGGCTACATAGGACTTAGATAATTAAAGAGAAGTTAAGAGGGCAGGGCAAGTAGAGGAAGAAGAAGTACAAGTCCTATGATCGGAGTTCAATTAGTAGTCGATTTTAAGTTCCATTTCACTTTTCCATGGTAATAACCACACTTTGGTATTAACCAAACTTCGTGCCATGTGCAAACCTAACTATTAAGAGTGTCGATACTTCAGTTTCTTGCTAAGCATGTTTAATAATTTTGACAACAAGATTGTATTCTCCCTTGAATGTAAATATTCTTTTTTTTTTTTCTTTTTTTGGATATAAATATTTCTTGACTTAATCTCTTGACCCACTTAATATATGGTTAAGATTCCTAGTACATCTGCCTAAAGAATATGGTTAAGACTTACATAAAAATATTTTTAAGGTTGTGCTTAAACATGTATTGTCTTCTGGCCCAGAGCTTTGGCTCGCCCATCTGGTACTGTGGGAGTAGATAGAGATAGAACACAAAATAAACCAGCCTATCACTGTTCTTTCTTTGAATTATTTTGGTTATTCCAAAGAACCTATTTCTTTGAGCATTAGGATTCTTAGGAAAACATGAGACATACTCTATTAGTTTATTAATCAAGTTTCCATGTAAGAATAACCAAAGGCTTACTAATAATTTAGATCATTTCATTCTTTTCTCACAGGAAATAAAAATTTTCTTACTACCTCTTGGTTTTTATAGCATTACTGAAATCTGATACTTAATTGTTTACTACAAAGCTCAGTGAGAAAAGACAAGGATATTAAGTGAACTAAAATGTATCCATATCATTAATGAATGCAAATACCATGGACAAAGAATCATTGGGAGACTTTCCTTAGTTTGGCATTTTTAAAGTACATTTTTTTTTTCCCAATAGGTTTATGGCCTTCATGGTAGTGATGGTTTCATGGTGTGTAACCTTATTTCCAAACTCATCAAGTTATATCTGTTAAGTATATTCAGCTCTTTACATGTCAGTCATACCTTAAAGTGGTTTGTTTGTTTATTTAATTAATTAATTTATTATTACTTTTTTAGGTCTTTATTTTTTTAAAGATGTATTTAGAGAGAGAGGGCCTGCCAACGAGTGGGGGGAGAGGCAAAGGGAGAGAATCTTCTAGCAGACTCCCCGCTGAGCACGTGGCCTGATGTGGGGCTTGATCTGATGACCCATGAGATCATGACCTGAGCCAAAACCAAGGGTTGGATGCTTAATCTACTGAGCCACCCTGGTGCCATAGCCGTTTTTTAATAAACAAAATAAAGCTCATATTAATGGCAGCAGGATATGTAAGGTACCTGGCACAAAGTTTGAACATGAATTAAGGGGGAGGGGTAACGGATAATTTATGGCTTACCTAAAATACTAAAAATTTCAGAGCTGCATAACAAAGGACCTGTATCCTGGGTATTGACTTAAAACTTACCCACATCTTCCTTTAGCCCCATTTTCTGTTAACAGTGTCTTTGGTTTAGTAGCTAATATGATTTACTCCCTTTGGCATACTGTAGGAGTTAAAGATATATAATGAGTTATATCAGTATATAATGTATAAAACAAATAAATATATGTATAATGAGTTATATCAGTGTATAATAATGAGCTACATCAGTATATAATATATAGAACAATTTGTGGGGGGTGCCTGGGCGGCTCAGTTGTTAGGCATCTGCCTTCTTCGGCTTAGGTCATGATCCCAGGGTTCTGGGATCGAGCCCCACATCGGGCTCCCTGCTCAGCTGGAAGCCTCCTTCTCCCTCTCCCTCTGCAGCTCCCCCTGCTTGTGCTCGCTCTCTCTGTCAAATAAATAAATTAAAAAAAAAAAAACAATTTGTGGGTGTAATGCCTGAAATCCTAATTTTAAAGATTTTATTTATTTATTTGAGAGAGAGCATGTGCGCAGGTGCATGAGAGCATGAGCGGGGAGGGGCAGACGGAGAGGGAGAAGCACTCCCTGCTGAGCAGGGAGACTGAGGTGGGGCTCCATCCCAGGACCCTGAGATCATGACCTGAGCCGAAGGCAGATGCTTAACTGACTGAGCCACCCAGGCCCCCCCTGAAATCCTGAAATCCTAATCTTTTTTTTTTTTTTAAGATTTCATCAGAGAAAGAGAGCACTTGCACGCACACAAACGGGGGCGGAGCACAAGCAGGGGGAGACGCAGGCAGAGGGAGAAGCAGGCTTCCCACTGAGCAAGGAGCCTGATGCAGGACTCAATCTCAGGACCCTGGGATCATGACCAGAGCCAAAGGCAGGCACTTAACCAACTAAGCCACCCAGGCATCCCTGAAATCCTAATTTTATTTTATTTTTTTAAAAGATATTTATTTATTTGAGAGAGAGAGACAGGGATAGCGACAGAAATATGCTTGTGCTATTAGAGAAGCAGGCTCTCCACTGAGCAGGGAGCTCAACGTGGGGCTTGATCCCAGGACCCTGAGATCATGGCCTGATCCGAAGGCAGGCTCTTAACCAACTGAGCCACCAGGCGCCCTTGAAATCCTAGTTTTAGAATACCTTGTTTCTTCTGCCTTAAAAATGATACTTATTATTGATTGTGCTTCAGTTGCTTAATGAAGGAAGTTTTTGGTTACTTCAAAATATTTTAAAACTTGACTGATTTTAAAAAAAAAGTTCAGAGTTTTATCTCAGTGTAAATTGTAATTGGGGTATTTTAGCTCAAGTTTATTAGACTCCTAGAATCTCTGAGTTGCAAGGACTTCAGTAGTCATCATTCAATCCTGTTCAGTGCAGAAATTTTGCCTGTAGTCTTCCAAGTAAGCTAAATAATAACTGTCACTTATATTTCTTACATATTTTTAGCTTGGGTCCGTTGCTCTTGAATTCTTTTTCGTCCCGACCTTGAAAGTGCTTCAGGGATCTCCATGTATACAGTACCTCTTTGCCAAACAAAACAAGGAACTTGTATGAGTTCATCTGGCAAATGTTCTACTCTAAGATTCAGCAGAACATAAAGGAATCATAAGCAAAGTGAACAAAGTTCTGTCAGTTATTTTTTTTTTTAAAGATTTTATTTATTTACTTGACAGAGAGAGTGAGAGAGGGAACACAAGCAGGGGGAGTGGGAGAGGGAGAAGCAGGCTTCCCACTGAGCAGGGAGCCCGATGCGGGGCTCGATCCCAGGACCCTGGGATCATGACCTGAGCTGAAGGCAGACGCTTAACGACTGAGCCGCCCAGGCACCCCAGTTCTGTCAGTTATTTAACATTTCCAGCTAGTATGGTATTGTGGAGTCTGTTTTCCAAATAGGGTGTAACTTATTTTCATAAAATGTAACTGTTCCAGCAAGGTGTTTGATATAGTTCAGCTCCGTTTTCCTTGGAATTTGTGAGTCAAATTTTACTAAAGTCAATTCCATTAGAGTAAAAATGTTTTTTAAGTAACCAAAATATTTCTAAATGTAAACTAATGACCCACTCATATCTTAAAATATTTAACAGAATTCTGATACAAGTCCTGAGTTAAATATTTCATTTTTTTTTTTTTAAGATTTATTTATTTATTTATTTGAGACAGAGAGAGAAACAGGGAGAGAGGGAACACAAGCAGGGGGAGTGGGAGAGGGAGAAGCAGGCTTCCCGCTGAGCAGAGAGCCCTATTCGGGGCTCTATCCCAGGACCCTGGGATCATGACCTGAGCCGAAGGCAGACGCTTAACGACTGAGCCACCCAGGCGCCCCGTATTTTATTTTTTTAAGATTTTATTTATTTGTGAGAGAGAGAGCGAGTGAGAGAGAGCACAAGTGGGGGGAGGAGCAGAGGAAGAAGCAGACTCCCCACTAAGCAGGGAGCCAGACGAGGGGCTCAGTCCCAGGGCCCTGGGACCATGACCCAAGCCGAAGGCAGACGCTTAACTGACTGAGCTACCCAGGTGCCCTTCTGCAGAATTTTATAAAATTTTTGTGTTTTGAGTGTTAGAGGTCACATTCTAGGGACACCTGGCTGGCTCAGGCAATAGAGCGCACAACTCTTGATCTTGGGCTTGTAAGTTTGAGCCCTATGTTGGGTGTAGAGATTACTTAAAGACAAAATCTTTAAAAATAAAGAAAAAGGTCCTATTCTAATCCTCAATACTGTCATTTTACATATCCTCTGATGTCCAGTGGCCTTGATTCTTTAAAATTCAAACTCCATTCCTCAGAAGAGCTGATCACAGCTTAGGTTGTTGAAAATATCTCTGGCTTTAAAATTTGGGTTGATTATTATTTAAAAGATTTTTTTTAAAGGTTTATTTATTTATTAGAGAGAGAGCACGTATGTGCAAGCAAGCTGGGGGAGGGGCAGAGGGAGAGAGAAACTCTTTAGCAGATTCCCCACTGAGCTCGGAGCCCACCACGGGGCTCAAACTCAGGATCTTGAGATCATGACCTGAGGTGAAATGAAGAGTTGGGATGCTTAACCACCCAGGCGCCCCTAAATTTGGGTTGATTATTTCAGTTGTCATTTAGAGTGACTGAAGGGAGGTGGTATGGACATTTAAATCTACCATGCTGGGCGCCTGGGTGGCTCAGTTGGTTAAGCGACTGCCTTCGGCTCAGGTCATGATCCTGGAGTCCCGGGATCGAGTCCCGCATCGGGCTCCCTGCTTGGCAGGGAGTCTGCTTCTCCCTCTGACCCTCCCGACCCTCCCCCCTCTCATGTGCTCTCTCTCTCAGTCTCTCCCTCTCAAATAAATAAATAAAATCTTTAAAAATAAAAAAAATAAATCTACCATGCTGCTAATTTCCTTTGAACCACAGCAGGGACTGGAATTAGGAAAATACCTCTTACTCAGTAGAGAAAAGGTAAGTGGTTCCCAGAAAATCCAGGATTATCTTGGCAAAGCAGTGAATGCTTGAGTATGATTGAGGAAAGGTGATCTAGTGCTAAATTTGGTCAGAGAATTCTCTGCATGAAATGAAAGTACATGCTGTGAATGTTGGAGAATTTGACTCCTGAGGAGTGTCTAGACAGACCTACAGTGGTTGCCCTTTATCATTTTCTTCACTTTTCTTCACTCCTAGATCTACGAAATCCAGAGGCAGCACTGTCTCCCACCTTCCGCAGTGACAGCCCAGTGCCTACTGCACCCACTTCTGGTGGCCCTAAGCCCAGCACAGCTTCAGCAGTTCCTGAACTAGCTACAGACCCCGAGTTAGAGAAGAAATTGTTACACCACCTTTCTGATCTGGCCTTAACATTGCCCACTGATGCTGTGTCCATCCGTCTTGCCATCTCCACGGTAATGATCTGATAAGACAGGGTTGGGATATACCACTTCTTCACTTCAGTTCATTGTCAGTGTCTTATTGCCTTTCCCTCCCCTCCTTCCCTAGCCAGATGCCCCTGCCACTCAAGATGGGGTAGAAAGCCTCCTACAGAAGTTTGCAGCTCAGGAGTTGATTGAGGTAAAACGAGGTCTCTTACAAGATGACGCACATCCCACTCTTGTGACTTATGCTGATCATTCCAAGCTCTCTGCTATGATGGGTGCTGTGGCAGAAAAGAAGGGCCCTGGGGAGGTAACAGGGACTATCACAGGGCAGAAGCGGCGTGCAGAGCAGGACTCAACCACAGTAGCTGCCTTTGCTAGCTCTTTGGCCTCTGGCCTGGCCTCTACAGCATCAGAAGCAGCCAAGGAGCCAACCAAGAAATCAAGGAAACATGCTGCCTCAGATGTTGATCTGGAGATAGAGAGCCTTCTGAACCAACAGTCTACTAAGGAACAACAGAGTAAGAAGGTAGGGGTAGATGGAAATGCTTTCACACATATACTTTGTTTTTTTTTAAGATTTTATTTTTTTAGTCTTTTTTATTTTTTTTATTTTTAGATTTTATTTATTTGACAGAGAGACACAGCGAGAGAGGGAACACAAGCAGAGGGAGTGGGAGAGGGAGAAGCAAGCTTCCTGCTGAGCAGGGAGCCCGATGCGGGGCTCGATCCTAGGACCCTGGGATCATGACCTGAGCTGAAAGCAGACGCTTAACGACTGAGCCACCCAGGCGCCCCTTAAAGATTTTATTTTTAATAATCTCTACACCCATTGTGGGGCTCAGACTTACAACCCCAAGATCAAGAGTTGAATGCTCTACCAACTGAGCCAACCCGGCACTCCTCACATACACACTTTGAATTACAGCTTTGGTTGGGAGGGATTTACCCCTAGGGCAAGGAGCAGTTCTTAGGGTTGAGGGTTTAGAATAGTGGTTGTCAACTGGGGATTATTTTTCCCCACTTCCTTCCCCCGGAGAACATTTAGCAGTGTCTGAAGACATTGTGGTTGTCGCAACACAGGGTCGTGCTACAGGCATCTACTGGGTAGAGGCAAGCGATACTGTTAAGCATCCTACAATCATAGTAGGATAATCCCCACACGACAAAGAATTACTTTCCCCAAATGTCAATAATGCCAATGTTGAGAAATTCCGATTTTGAGAATGTCTGTCATTGGAAGAATCATCAGGTAAAAGGAAGAGGAACCCAAATATAGGAATAGAGGGAGATGAATGGAGATGAATACTGGAAGGTAGTTACCATGGACCATTAATTAGGGAAACTGATAATTAACCAATGTGAATTGGCAGTTAACTGGTTCTGAATATAAATAATGGACTCACATGAATTCTTACCTATTTGCTACTTCTAGATGTGTAAATATGAACAAGTTAAATTTAACTTCTCTTGAGCCTTAGTCTTCTCATCTCTAAAGTGAGGATAACCAGAGTACCCTCCCTTACAGAACTGTTGCATAGACTCAGCTAAACAGTAAAGTGCTTAGTACTTACTGTATCTTGGTTATGTAAATATAAGTGGTTTTGGTGGGAAGGATTGCTTTCCTGGGGAGGGGAGGTTAACTTAATGCTCAGCAGTAGGAACCAGGCTTCTTATATTTTAATTCCATCCCAAATGCAGATCTGTAAGAAAGGACTGAACCCATGATAAATCTCCTAGAACTCCCAATTTTCCCGTATTAGGTTAGCTCATTCACCTCTTACAACAGGACATTGTCAAGTAGAATTTAGGGAGGTGGTTTAGGGCTCATTTTATCTGCAAACCCTTTTAAGTCTAAGGCTTCTTTTGTCACAGGTCAGTCAGGAGATCCTAGAGCTATTAAATACAACAACAGCCAAGGAACAGTCCATTGTTGAAAAGTTTCGCTCACGAGGTCGGGCCCAAGTACAAGAGTTCTGTGACTATGGAACCAAGGAGGAGTGTATGAAAGCCAGTGATGCTGACCGGCCCTGCCGCAAGCTGCACTTCAGGTGTCTTGGGAGGGAGAGAGGTGGGGTGGGGCTCCCAGACGCACTCATTCCTTTTCAGCACATTTCTTCCAGTCCCTGGGGTTCTGTCTTTGATCCTGTCATTAAATGGTTTTAATGATTTGTCTTAGACCTCCAGATTCTGAAGGTGTACTTTCAGAAGTAGTGTTCTGTGGGAGAGAATACAGACTGCACTCCCAAACAGATGTGAGATTTTTTTAAATAATGTCCCTTTCTTCTTGCATTAGCAAGGCATCTCTGTCTCTGAGGCCCAGTAAAAGTTAAAGTTCTCTGGAAGGATGATCTTAGGAGAAGTAGGAACTTGGGCTCGAAGGCCAGTGTTTTATTCAGCTCTAACCAGCAAGCCCTTTTTCCTGTCCTAAGAAAGTTGTCTTTGCTCAGAGAGGAATTAAATTCTTCTTTAGTGTGAATTATGGATTTCCATGTTACCTGCTTCCTTTCTCTGAAAACTCTTGGAGGAAGCTCTAAAGATAAAATTAGGAGAGGGTAATAAAAGACAAAATTTTGAAACAGTTTGGAACTTGAACTATGGGATCTGACTCTGGAACACCATCTTGATTCTCATTCTCCCTTTTTATTTTCCCAGACGAATCATCAATAAACACACTGATGAGTCATTAGGTGACTGCTCTTTCCTTAACACATGTTTCCACATGGATACCTGCAAATATGTTCACTATGAAATTGATGCTTGCATGGATTCTGAGGCTCCTGGGAGCAAAGACCATACACCTAGCCAGGAGCTTGCTCTTACACAGAGTGTTGGAGGTGACTCCAGTGCAGATCGACTCTTCCCTCCTCAGGTACCTGTCCGCTCAGAAAACTTATTTCAGCTTAGAGACTTATATCTGAGTAGGGCAGCCATACATGTAGGAAAGCAGGCATAATCAGCAGTCTATCTTATGGATTGGGAATGGTGTGGGATATACATATTTATAATGGAATAGGAAAATCAAATGGAAAAGAGGGACTGGGGCCATGAATCTGAGAGTGAAGGAAGGGAAGATGACCAAATACCACCTTATGCAGTGGATCTGTTGTGATATCCGCTACCTGGACGTCAGTATCTTGGGCAAGTTTGCAGTTGTGATGGCTGACCCACCCTGGGATATTCACATGGAGCTGCCCTATGGGACCCTGACAGATGATGAGATGCGCAGGCTCAACATACCAGTACTGCAGGATGATGGCTTTCTCTTCCTCTGGGTCACAGGCAGGTAATGCAGTTCAAAGATATGTAGGTATGGGCAGATATAGTACAGAGTGAGTACTGGGTGGGAATAAAATCCTGGGTTTTCCGAGCCCTGCTATTAACTGTATGACTATGTCAGCCTTTTTTGCTACTGAGACCTACTGCCTGTATATAACACAAATGATACTTGAATTCTATTTAACTTTACATCTGTTCCTTATGAAAGGTAAGGCCATTGAGAATAGATACTATTTTATGTTTTCATTCTTAGATCCATCCTGTTGCCCTAACGGTGTCTTGCATGTAAATGTTCACTGAATGTCTACTGAAAACATTTCGGTATCTTGAAGAGATAAAAAATACGGACATGAAAGCAGCTGTTTAACCCTTTTCTTTTTAGGGCCATGGAGTTGGGCAGAGAATGTCTGAACCTCTGGGGGTAAGTAGTGATCATTGTGTTGCTTTCTACTGAAGGAAATAGAAATGTAATAGCTGTAGTTGAGATGTGTTCTCTTCTCCCAGAGTATTCCCTGTGAGTCCTTTCCTCTGTAGAGTAGATGGTACTACCCCTAAACTGTGAAAGCCGGATTAAAGCTCTAGTTCTCTATCTTATGTCCCACAGTTATGAACGGGTAGATGAAATTATCTGGGTGAAGACAAATCAACTGCAGCGCATCATTCGGACAGGCCGTACAGGTCACTGGTTGAACCACGGGAAGGAACACTGCTTGGTGAGCAACACTGGGGCCCAGTTCAATAGGTGGAGCAGAAAGAGGAATTGTTGGACTTATTGAGAAAAAGTTCAAATGCTGGGGGTTCCATAAGGTAATCTGTTCTCTGTGGTGAGCAGGTTGGTGTCAAAGGAAATCCCCAAGGCTTCAACCAGGGTCTGGATTGCGATGTGATCGTAGCTGAGGTATGTGCTTCCCCAGGCATCCAAACCTTCCACATTATTCAAGTCAGGTGTATTCCAGGTTCTCTCATTTGATCATAAATATAAATGGAAAGGGCTAGACTTGCAATCTTTGGTAACTTAAAAGTAACTAGAGCCTTGCTTTCCTAGGTTCGTTCTACCAGTCATAAACCAGATGAAATCTATGGCATGATTGAGAGACTATCCCCTGGCACTCGCAAGATTGAGTTATTTGGACGACCACACAATGTGCAGCCCAACTGGTAAGGCGAACATAGTAGCCCTCCTGTTTATGGTCAAGGATGGCTGTTAGTAGAGCTTTACCTCATATTTCAGTAGTTTAAAAATGGGCTTTAGAGGATTCAGAAGCCACCCAAGCTTGTATTTAAACTGTTTTATGGGGCTTTGCAACATTCACTGGAGACCCAACAGATTTTAAGACCCAAATCACTGCTCTCTAAAGAGTATCTACTAAAGATTTTCCTCAGTTATTCTATGGGATGTATTGAAATCTGCCCCCTGGTGGTTAAGAATCCATTTACTGTCAACAGTTTCAGTATCTTTCATACTGTTAGTAGAGCTTTGGAAGACATGTTGCTAGCATTTTTTTATCCAAAGAATACTCATTGGCAGCAACTTTGTGAAGTACGCCTGGTTAGCTCTCTGTTATTAACCCTTAAGTAATACAGAGCCAGCCTGTTTTAACACCAAAATCTACCCAATTCCTAACCAGTCATACTACCAAATACTATTCTAATATTAAGGTCTTCTTAAAAGAATTGGCATGAATATTAGATGAGATGATAGGCAGCCTTAATAAAAGGTAAGCATCTTTTAACAATATTAAGCCTTTTAATTCCAGGATTTTTGGTTTGCCCCTTCTTTATCTTTACTTCAGGATCACCCTTGGAAACCAACTGGATGGGATCCACCTACTAGACCCAGATGTGGTTGCCCGGTTCAAGCAAAGGTATCCAGATGGTATCATCTCTAAACCTAAAAATCTGTAGAAGCACTTCCTTACAGAGCTAAGCACCTACAGCCATGGCTCTGTAGGCTGCACCTGAAGAGTAATATTTGTACAATAGTTTTTCTTCCTTATTTAAATAAAAGTTTGTATTGTAGTTGGGATTTCAAGGTCAAAATCTGGCTCTGCCACTTAAAATTGTGTGATCTCGTGCACCTTATCTCTCAGTAGGATTTCTTACATGTAAGCTGGGAATATGCTACCTACCTCACTGGGTTGTTGTAAGGTTCAAACTAAATGAGTGCATGGAAAACATTAAAATGTTGATTATACTATATAGGATCAAAGTGATTAGCAGTTAGTACTACATGAATGTCGTAATCAAGAAGGGGGGTTCTCTGGGACAGCTATTTCTCAAGGTAAGATTTGATTTCACTTAAGGTTATCATCATTAGGGCTAACATGCTCTAAATATTTGTTTACCCTTTCACAACTATGTGGCTTTGCTTGTCTTTTTTTTTTAGCTTATTTGCAAGAAAAATGAGATAAGCACATCTTAGATTAAATTTAAATGAAATTTAAATGGTGTACAGAGAATTAGCCTATATATTATGTAAGTGAAAACACCTCTAGCCTATCTTTTAAAAGATATTTCATCAAACACAAGTGAACACAACTTCTTTAGACTTTGGTAAAACCTCTTATATTAAGGATATAGACTTCTGCCTTTTACACTCATAAACTGTGGTAAGTGCAAGAGGGAGGATCAAGGATTACAGAAATAACATTATTTGTAAAGAGAAATAAATAAGAAACTCCCAGGTGATAGTATTTTCCCTACAGCCCAGGGTGCCTGCTCTGTTGAAAACTTTTGTTCTCCAAGCAATGTATAGGTGTGACAGCAATCGTTCCTGTTTAAGAGATAACCTTTAATGCAACTTTTTATCCCCTTTAAAATGGATGCACACAGTGTTTTAGCCTAGGCTCAAAGCTGAGTATTCTCCCATCATTTTAATAATTGTTTAGGCATGTCCTATGACAATTATACCGAGTTTCCTCAAACAACCCCCCACCATCACCACCCCTATGTTCTGCTTGTTCATATTCCCTTTACCCTTCTCTGCTATTATCACTGGTATCTCTGCTTGTACTTGAAAGTAAAAAGCAATTCCAGATTACAGCCAACTCAATGGCCTTGCTCCATAGTATGGCCCCTGATGAAGAGACAGAAAAGGGGAGAAGCACAAAGGACCATCATGGGTTGAGATCAGGCACTACCAGAAGCCCAACTTGTTTTTTAAAAAGAGGCTCTTAGACATGTTCCCAGCAGATAAGTCTTGACTGGCTTGGAGAACAGGAAGGACTACTTCACAAACACCACAGTGTTTGAATTTCTAGAGGCCACCCAGGCCAAGAAGACATCCCTAAGAGAGAAGAGATACACATAAACTTAGAATTACAGCCTAGATATAGCCTTTTTGAACTGTCTTAAATAGCTTCATTAAGATGAAACGATATCACCCGATATGAATCTAAGGGCAGTGGGCCTTATTTAAGTTTAGACAATCCTGATTTGCTGAAGCAGATCTGACTTAGGAAAATACCAATACTTTCATAGATAGAGGTAAATCCCAGGAAAACTGGGAAGATGGGCAAAATCTTCAGAACTTCTCTCGCCCCTACCACCCACCCCTTCTGCCACACTTAGCACCTTCTTCTTATGCTACTTACCACTTAGCATAATGGTCCACCTCAAATTCTAATTCCCTGAGTAGCTGGATTTGCAGTAAGGAGAGAAGCTAAGCTAATATCCATAGTCACTAACAGCTTAAGGTTTTACAATTTTTTAAAAGACCACATGTAACTGAATGTTAAAGAGCACATGTAACTGAATATAATGTAACCAAAAAGCAAGAACTGCTAATTATATCATCTTTGTCTACGTGGGAAATGTAAGCTCTTTTTAAGCAGGGGAAGCTTTTCTAGTAGCCTCTATATAATCAGACATATATATAGCAATCTAGTCTACCTAAGGTCAGGTGATGCTCAGGGTTACCCGTTTTCCAACAGTTAACTTCGCAATATCTGAATTATAAGAAGGGAAACTATAAGCTCACCTGCAGTGCTTCACCACACATTCATTGCTGCAGTACTCATTGTCCCAGTCCTTACTCACAACAGGAGGGTTCTCACAACCGGATCTCACACATCGAGGCTGGGGTGAGAGTGTCACGGGAGACCCACTCACCAATTCAACATCCATTTGAGAAGGAGACTCAACCTATGAGAGGAAGAGAGCACAAAAGATTAATTAGATTGCTACTTACTTAACTAGCCAGCTAGTCAAACTAACTGGGAACCAATGGAGCTGCCCCCATATGGGGGCAGAGTCCTAAAAGAGTTCTTGGTCTCCCCCTCTATATGCAGCTTGAGACTGACATGAAGATTCTTCCAATTGGCGGAATGCTGGCTAGTCCTCTTTAATTTTAATTGTATCTATCACTGACTTTATTCCACACTTGACTACTACTCCTCTGAAAATCTCAAAAGTACAGTGTGAGTAGAGTGGTTTATGCCATTAGAAAAAGGGAAAGACCTCGGAGATTCAGTTTCCTGCTGATGGGGGGTTATTTTTCTTTAAATGATTGCTTCAGTAATTGTGGACCTGGAGTCTCAAAACATTTTTTTTTTTTTTTAAGATTTTATTAATTTGACAGAAAGACACACAGCGAGAGAGAGAACACAAGCAGGGGGAATGGGAGAGGGAGAAGCAGGCTCCCTGCTGAGCAGGGAGCCCAACGCGAGGCTCCATCCCAGGACACTGGGATCACAACCTGAGCCGAAGGCAGATGCTTAACGACTGAGCCACCCAGGCGCCCCAAAACATATTTTTAAATGACTGTTAGTGATGTACAAATTTATTAAAACTACGGTAATTGGCATCTGTTTATGTCTCTTTGGAAAGACTCAATAATATGAACCAATTTTTTTCAAGCTATCCATCCCCCACTTAAAACACATCAAGCCAAGCAGCAGAGATGTAGGAGAAATGGAAGAACTTGTATCTCCAAAGTTTAGGATCCTTGGATAGATACCTCTGAAAAATAACTCCATGCTTACTTAGGCTTTATCCTCTCTCACAGAACTGCAGTATGACTTTTGCTTAGTTAAGGGGTGGTCTGGGACAGAACACCCTCCTAAATGTTTCTTACCAAGAACAATACAGATTATCATGGGTAGGACAAGTCACAGTTGCAGGGAACTCCTACAGGAACTCCTGGTTGCCAGACATTAAATGCCAGCAGCAACCTCCACTTTTACTGGGTCAACCAAAATAATTCTACCTTTCCACTGGTCTGGAGAAAGACTTGAAAACAGGCTCACCTCAGGAACTACATCTGTGATCATCTCACAGATTGTCTCAGGAGAGGTTTCCTCCACTGTGTGGGCCTCGGGGCTGTTGTTCACAGGCCGCTCAGGACTACTTTCCACGGCTGGTGGGACTAAGGGTGTCTGCATTTTCAGAGTGGGTGGAGGCACAATCTTGATCTGCAGAGGAGGTGGCTGTTGCTGTAAATTGATTCGAACTTTCTGAGGTGGAGGCTGTTGCATGGCCTGCAGTGGGGGAGGCTGCTGCAGAATGGTCACTTGCTGCTGAGTGGGGGGCTGAGGCATCTGTTGTAGTGGAGGGGGTTGTAGTCGGGGTGGAGGCAGTTGCATAGAAGCAGCAGCTGCTGCCGCTGCCTGCAACACTGAGCGAGTGACAATTTGGGCTTGTTGACTGGGCTGGATAGTGGCTGTACTGGTTTGGCCTAGTTGGATCCCCCGGGAGGTCACCACTGTGGCTGGGATAACAGTAACCATCCCTCCTTGAGACATAGTAATAGAAGAGGGCAACATCTGTTTGGTAATAATCAACTTGGTGATATTGGGCTGACCCCCAGCCCCAGAAGATGCCTGGTTTGCCACATAGGAGGAAAGAGTGGAGTTAACAACAATGGAAGGGGACAGGGCAGGGGGCTCTGTTGAGGCTGGTGCTGGAGATGCTGGGTCAACAGTAGCCATAGGAGGTGGAGAAGGAGTCTGTGACGGTGGCACTGGATCCAATTCTACTGTTTCCACAGTGGCCTAAAAGACCCAAAAAAAGGAAAGAAAAAAAGTCATTGGGAAATTTACTCTCTTCCCCAGAACATATTCACTCTAATCATCTCCCAAGAAAAGATACATCACAGAGTGGGAGAAAGAAAGAAAAGAGCTGTGAGAGTAAATAATGGAGATAAACTCAGACAGACTGTGGCAAGGTTTATGATGGAAACAATAGGAAACCTGTTATATACTTTTAAGCTTTTAATACAACATAGTATTAACAGGTCCTACAGGTTTTTGGTGGTATTTACTTCTTTTAACTGCTAATAAACAGCTCCAAAAATCTTCTTATTGCTTTAAGTAACCCTCTTACCTGACACTCTTGATTGTCTTTATATGCAGCCAGAGCCTTCAGATACTCTTTCTTGGCAGCTTCAGTTTTCCTCTTATACACCTACAGGAAAGGCAGAGACTGTTTAAAGTCCCCATACTCCTAGAAAAAACTAATAATTCTATATTATTTATCAACGAATGACAATTCATCTCAGTTAAATATTGACAACTCTTTTTAGTGAATATACTTCTGGCTAGTAATCAAGATAGCCTCCATGGCAGACTTTCCAGTGACCATGCATCTGAAAGTCAGCCAATCAGCAAGTCCTGCCAGGACAACTACACTTCTATAGCTAACACCATGCCCACTTTCATAACAAAAAGAAAAAAGAAAAAATCCAGATCCAAACATTGTGTAAGATTAATAGTCTGCTTAGCCTGGGATTGTGTCTAATGGGTATATTCTCCCTTAAGGAATCTGGCAAGTTATTTGCAATGATGGCCACGAGAATTCCTCCCATCTTGCATACTTCTTCTTCCATTGAGGGCTGAAGCCTATTTCCCCTTCCTTTGAATCTGGGATAGTTCTATGAATTGCTTTGACCATAAGAAGGTGCCTTCCTTCGAATCTGGGATAGCTCTATGAATTGCTTTGACCATGCAATTCTGCCTGAAGTGACAGAGAGACCTTGCTCTAAGTCAGCCATACTATAAGGAAGCCAGTCTAGCCTTTTGAAGGATGAGAGGCCATGTGTGGGAATCTAAGCCAAGTAGCACCAAATGTCAGACATGAGAGCAAGGTCACCTTGGCCAGCCATACCAGCTATCATTTGACAAACCACAAGAATGAGCCCAGGCAAAAACATCAGAAAAACCATCTAACCAATTCATATTATCATGAGAAATAATAAACTGCCACTATTTAAAGCTATTAAATTTGTGGTTTGTTGAGCAGCAATAGATAACTGCTATAAGTTATAAGTTTCAGCTTTTTGTTTCAAATATTAAGTAGCAGACTCACTCTGACAGAAGACCTGGGGAGTCTAGGGCAATGATAATTATAGCCATCTTCAGTATTAATTGTATTGTATATTTACATAGTATCATAATTTTCATTTATTTATTTACTTTTTGAGAGCAAGGGAGAGAGGCGTGGAGGAGGGGGAGGGGGGGAGAGGGGGAGAGAGAAAGAGAGAGAGAGAGAGAATGAATCTTAAGCAGGCTCCACAACCCAGTGTGGGGCCCACCGTGGGACTCAATCTCACGATCCTGAGCTCATGACCTGAGATGAAACCAAGATTTGGATGCTTAGCCAACTGAGCCACCCAGGTGCCCCTATTTTTTAAATCCATATTAAATTTAGAGAGATTAACTATAGTTTTCAAGTTTATACTAGGCCAATGAAAAAACCATAAACTAAACTCTAAATTCAAACTTAAGGCTAGTGGATTTTAGAGATGCTATTTACCAAGGAATGGCCTAATTTTACAGATGGAAAAAAAATGGGGTTTAAATTAGATTCAGTGTTTTTATAAACATTATTAATAGTTTTTGATGTACATTCTGGATTCAGTGGATGGCTGTAACTTTAAGACAAAGTATGATCTGTGAATGTGCTGTTAACAAAGAGTTGATATTAAATAAGAACAACTTAAAAAGTTAAAAGAAAACTTAGTTTTTTATCCCCTTACTTAAAAATTTCTAGGACATTCACTACCCACTACTCCCTCCATGTTTTGTTCACCTGTTTTTGCTCCTCTCCAAGACTATCCCACATGGAGGCCACAATTTTTGAAACTTCCCCAAAAGTGGCATTGGGATTCTGTCCCTTAATGGCAGCCTGTGTATCACGAAAGAATAAAGCATATGCTGAAACTGGCTTCTGAGGTTCATTAGGATCTTTCTTTTTTCTCTTCTTTGGGGCCTTCTGCTTTTTTCCTGCTTCCACCACAACTGTCTTCTGGCTGGGAAGTTGCTGCAGGGGAGAAAAGAGAGAATTACAAAAGGGAAGAAGGAAGTATCGTGTCTGGAGAACTGTAAGAAAAGGACTTTAATATGGGGGAACTAACTAGGCACATGGATGGAATTTTCAGAAATGCTAAAAAGAGGCAATAGGATTAAGACATTAGTAAAGTAGGTGAGGACCAATTAGAATGGGGATTGGGAAAAGCATTATAAACTGTAGATTGAGAGGCAGGACCCCATACCCAGAAAAGAGCAGAGGAGATGGCAGGGCAGGAGCAAATAATACTGAGTAGGCTCTGTATGCCAGGAGTTTTATCCCAGAATATCATGGCAGATTTGATTTTGGCAGGGAATGCCTCACCCTCCGGAAATCCTCAACACCATCCTCATGAAGTGAACTAGTAGGTGAAGGGGTGGTTGAAAGACGATCCTCAGGTGACTGGGCAGGTGGCAGGATGGTGCCACCCCCTAAGCTCAAACCAAGTTGAGAACTCAGTTCTGACTGATCAATGGTGGTCAACTGGCTATGCCCCATCAAGCCAGATGTCATGTCTGTCATTGGTACATCAATTGTAACAGGTGGGTTGGCACTATACTGAGTTCCTATAGAATGGTCCAAGTCCTGAGAGAAGCAGAAGGACTAATTAAACACTAAATATAAAAAAACACCACTCTTTCCCCCCACTGAATTCAGGACAGTTTATAACCCTTGCTTACCCAGATTGTATCATCATTTAAAGACTAAACATCAAATAACTTATCTATATTAAGCTTTTTAATAAAGTACAGAAATTATTAAAGTCACTTCTTTGTACTCAAAAGCCTGTTCCAAAATAATGAAAAATAACCAGAGAAGTCTTAATTTTGGACAAGTTAGTTTAAAGAACAAATAAATTATTCAGTAATCTGGAGGTAGTGATGACACATAGGGTAAAGAAAAACTTCCTGTACTCTCCTACAATAATGGTTTTTAAAGTTGCAACATACAGGCAATCAAGAGTAAATAAGGCCAATGTTAGAGATGTTTGGCATCAAATATACTGTGAAGATGTGCTACTGAAGAAATGTGCTGGAAGTCCAATACACCAATTTATAACAAAGTAATCCACAATACATTGGTTCAGACTGGTTTTGAATAAATCTCTCAACGTGCCAGCTGTCACACTCACATTTTTTTTTTCACACTCACATTTTAATCCTAGGATGTGATGGCAATTATAGATGGGGAAAAAAACACACCCCCCCATCCCAATCATTTTCATATCCGGGTGAACACTGTACATTTTATAATCTTAAATCATTTTTCAAGTAAAATTAATTCAAATGATAAATTTCCTTCAGGGGAAATTAAGTCTTTGTTGCTGAGCCTTTAAACACAGAAGTAATACCCAAGTGTAGTAGGGAAGAGAGAGTCACTTTTATCTCCCATACCACTACCAAGCCCATGAGCTTGGGTAAGCTTGATAATGTCTTGCCCCTTACCATGGTCAAGCCCCCACTCAGGAGCCCCCCGCCCTGCTCCATCAAGCCATGGGTCATGCCCACAGGCATGTCCAATGTCTGGACCCCATATTGGGCTGAAAAGCTGCCATCCTGAGAGGAGGAGGGGTCTGCCAGGTCATCAAAGTGGCCAACCACATCTGAGACAGCCAGTGAGGGATCAGAATCCAAGGAGATAGGTGGGATTTCAAATTCCTCATCTCCCAAGCTTGGTGTATGGAATGTCTGTAGGGGGAAAAAGGGAAAAAAAGTTAGTGGGAAGAGGAGGAACCGCATACTGCTAAGTGAAGAACATGGCTGGGCACTGGAGTTTCTTAGTGTACCTCTTTTCAGCCTGGATCCTGTTTTTGTTGTCAATTTCTTAGGACCTATTTAATTTTACAAACAAACCTCTGTTCTCCCAAATACCCTTGGTCATATGGCATATACGAGGCTGCCAAAATCAATCACAGTTTTCAGTTTTTTATCTTTGCCATCTGTTATCCTATCATGCTTATTGTTCTAATGAGTGCTCAGCTATTAGTAAGGACCCAGTCTTTATAAATTGTTTTGCCTACGATGCTTAAAAACTCTCAAAAGATTCTAATAGACACCAGTTATTTTACAATTATACACCTGAACTATCAGACCACAGAAATTCATTTTCAACCAGACAATTATACTTTTGACTACTATTTTTAGGTTCCTTTGAAGCAAATCCTAAAAGGTACTGTCACGGAACGATACCTCTTCTAAAATAACTACACTTAAGAGTTCCATCTTAGTAATCATGATGTTAACAACAAGTAAGATTTATTTTTGGAAAACCCAATGATGTCAAGATAAGGTTAATATACTGAGGAGAAAAACCTTCATAAGAGCTACAGCCAAAAGGCAAACTGGTTCTCTAACATTCCTAGTCTTGCTCTGACAGAGCCTTTTCTGTAAGAGAGGAAGCAGATTACTCCAGCTAGCTATAAAACCCAATTCCTTCCTCTGAATTCAACTACAGTAA